GAGAGAGAGAGAGAGAGAGAGAGAGAGAGAGAGAGAGCAAGAAAGAGCAAAAGAGAGTGAGAGAGAGAGAGAGAGGGAGAGAGGGAAGAGAGAAAGAGAGCGGAAGAGAAAGAGAGAGGGAGAGAGAGAGAGAGCTCAAGGGAGAAAGCAAGAGAGAGAGGGAGAGAGAGAGAGAGAGAGAGAGAGAGAGAGAGAGAGAGAGAGAGTGAGAGCAAGCTAGAGAAAGAACAGAAAGAGCAAGAGAGAGCAAGGGAGAGAGCAAGAGAGAGATAGAGAGAGAGGGAGAGCGATTCAGAGATAGAGAGGGAGAGAGAGAGAGAGTGAGGTAGATTGAGAGGGAGAGCTGAACTTCTGCATTTTGCATTAATGAGAAAAAATAAAACTAGTTACAAGTAAAAAGAAACTATGCAACTATACCCTATCACTCTCCTCCCTCAACAACAACAACAACAGTGTTGGGGGGAACTCCTCATTATTAACATCAAAAAAAAAAAAACTATCAGTAATAGCTAATTCGACACAGTAGTCAGCCGGCCGATTACTCTCCCTGTTTATATACTGAAATAGAACTTGTTTGAACCTCATCAAGAACGATAGATCCGGTCCTTTAAAACTGAAATGTACTCTATTGTGATGATCATTAAGGTTCTGTAGCCACTTTATAGCATTGATATTGTCCCCTTCAATTATAATCCCTTCCACCTCCAACATCCAATCCTCTAAAACATCACAGATGGCAGCAGTCGCCATTACTTCAGCATGAAGAGCATCCTAGTGAATTAACAGTCAATGTTAGAAGCCAGCTCCGCAATAAGCTCATTTAGTGAATTAACAATCGGCATTATCATCCCCCACTTAGACAGGACGCTAAACACCTCCTTAATTTTCTTACACTAAGCAACACAGTGATCACGGGTCTCCTCCCCACTACAACCCCATGGACAGAGGGACGAAGTCGAGAGTCCCCTATGAGACAGCCAAAAATTAGTGGGAATAGAATCCCTAAGAAGACACCACCAGAAGAAGCTTTCTCTTGGGTGTAGTTTCAGTTTATTCATCTAGCTGTATTGGTACTCTGTTCCTCCATACTTAGCTCTATATGCCATAGCAGTTATCGTCAAATTCATCCGAGAATGGATGAGTTCAGCACAGTCAATTCCATTTCCACCTCCCGTGTTGATGGTCATAATCCTTTCTGCCATACACTTCCCAAAATACCTCTCTACCTCTTCCTCTTTCCACTGAAGGGAATCATTAAGGAGTATACTCACCTTGACATTCTCCACTTCATCAACATTAACAAAAGTGGTCCATAAAGCAATTTTACGATCCAGAATCCAGCAATCATGCAGCATATCAATACAGTGGCCATTACCAATCTTCCATCTAATAATGGGTCTAAGAGCTTTAGCTCTATCATGAATCACCTTCCAAGTAATAGAAGGTCTCCAAATCTGTGTATGACTCCATAATTCCATCCCATACTTATCCCTTACCAGCTTGTGCAGGATAGAATTCGAATCCTGAAGAACCTCCCAAGCTAGTCGAGCACGCAAAGGGCCTTGCCATGTAGTCAATCCCAGAAACCCATGCCCTCCATACTCCTTAGTCTGGCACAACTCCTTCCACTTCACATAATGCAGGCCACTACTATTGGAATCCTTCTTCCACAGGAATTGCCCTCCCAATTTCTCAATAGAATTAAGAACTCCATTCGGGACAGCAGTATGTGTCATTAAATACATGGGGATGGTTAATAAAGAAGTCCAGATCAATAAAGCACGACCCGCCAATGATAAATGCTTCTTCCCCCAAATGTTCATCTTCTCATGAGCTCTCTTAATGTCATTAGAGAAATCAGCACCCACCAATCTCTTCATAACAAGAGGCAGCCCCAAGTATTCCAGAGAACTCACCTTTCTGTATCCCATAATCCGAGCAATCATCCTTTTCTTCCAACCTGGACATTTCTTATTAAAAAGCACAGCTGACTTCTCCCTATTGATGTTCTGCCCAGTCCACCCACAATAATCCTGTAAAATTCCCATAATCTGAAGAGCATTACTCATGTTGGCTTCAGCAAACACCAAGATGTCGTCAGCATATAACAGGTGTGAAATTCTATCAGTATTCTTGACAATAGAAATTCAAAGTTGTCCTCCTCTTTGCGTAAAAGCCTTAGTCAATAGCTCAGAGCATAAAATAAATAGATACGGGGACAAAGGGAAAACCTGCCTTAGACCGCTCATGGCATAAATCCATGGTGTTCGATTACCATTAATCAGGAGAGAAAACCGTGGTCTAATAATACACTGCATCACCCAATGAATAAAACGAGCAGAAAAATCCATCATCGACATCACCATTTGCAAGGTATCCCATGACATACAATCATACGCCTGCTCCATATCTACCTTCATAGCCATCATTCCATTCTTCTGGGAAGAATAACGAAGCTTGCACATCATCTCTTGAGCAATAAGTCCATGACTGGAAATGGACCTCCCCGGGACAAAGGCACCTTATTCCTTACTAATAATATCTCCCAACACAGGTTTAAGCCGGTTGATGAGAATTTAGCTACCACCTTGTAGAAGGATTGGCAAAGACTAATAGGCCTAAACTTGGCCGGTGAAATGGCAGTATCTGTCTTCGGAATTAACACAACCAAAGTATCCTTCCAACTTTAACACATGGAGTTAGTGCAAAAGAAATGGATAATCGCAGAATTGACATCACATTTAGATTGAGAGGGAGAGAGAGAGGGGGGGAGAGAGAGACAGAGAAAGCAAGAAAGGGAAAGGGAGTGCGAGAGCGAGAGAGAGAGAGGGAGAGAGTGTGAGAGAGAGAGAGCAAGAGGGACAGAGAGAGGGAGAGAGAGAGATGGAGAGAGAGAGAGGGAGAGAGTGAGAGAAAGAGAGAGAGAGAGAGAGAGAGAGAGAGAGAGAGAGAGAGAGAGAGAGCAAGTGAGTGCAAGCTAAAGAACAAGAGAGAGGAAGAGTGAGCAAGGGAGAGAGCAAGAGAGAGAGGGAGAGAGAGAGGGAGAGAGAGAGAGTGAGACGGAGACAAAGATAGAGAGATAGAGAGTGTGTGTGTGTGTGTGTGTGAGAGAGAGAGAGCAAGAAAAGAGCAAGGGAGTGCAAGAGAGAGAGAGAGAGGGATGGAGGGAGGGAGAGAGAGAGAGAGATCATGTGAGAGCAAGCTAGAGAAACAGCAAGCTAGAGAAAGAACAAGTAAGAGCAAGAGAGAGCAAGGGAGAGAGCAAGAGAGAGTTAGAGATAGAGAGAGAGAGGGAGATAGAGAGATTGAGAGAGGGAGAGAGAGGGGGGAGAGAGAGAGGAAGAGAGAGAGAGAGGGTGAGAGAGAGAGAGCAAGAAAGGGCAAGGGAGTGCAAGAGATTGAGAGAGAGAGAGAGAGAGAGAGAGAGAGAGCAAGTGTGTGTGTGAGAGAGAGAGAGATAGATAGATAGCTAGAGAGAGAGAGACACACACACACATAGAGAGAGAGCAAGAGATAGAGAGAGAGCAAGGCAGAGAGAGATGGAGAGAGGGAGAGGGAGAGGGAGAGAGAGAGAGAGTAAGAGAGAGAGGGAGAGAGAGAGTGAGAGAGAGAGAGAGAGAAAGAAAGAGTAAGAGAGCGTAAGAGAGAGGGAGAGAGAGTGTGTGAGAGCTGAACATTGCATTTGCATTCATAAACAAACCATTACAAAGAACAAGAAAGCAAGAAAAAAAAAACTAATCCAAAAAGCCCCTAAGAGGGGCCAAAACTATTCCTATCATCCTCAAGGATGTAAAAAAAAACTTGAGGAATACATGTGTTGATATTATCTCCTATATCCCAAACAAAATTATCCTCAATTGCTCTTTGAGCACAAAAATGAGCCGCCTTGTTGTACTGTCTATAGGTATGGACAAAAACCACCTTACGGAAATGCATCATCCAATCGAACGTGTTCCCATCCTCCGGCCGGCCCCGCCACCCCTCCTGCTTCTTGATCTTCTGTAAATAATCTATAACACTGGCGTTATCCCCCTCTATGACAACTCCCTCAACCTCATACATCCAATCCTGGGTAAGCTTCCCAATGTAATTCACAGCCATCATTTTGACTTGCGTGCTATCCCAATGCATTATACTCCAACCAGCCGCAACAATTCCCCTGCATTGCCAATCCCGGATAACAATTCTGATCCCACCAGCATTAGACCGGAGCAAAGCTCCGTCCACATTAATTTTCAGCCAACCCGTAGGGGGGGACACCAAGAGTAGATACTGGACAATCCAAAGGATTGGTTGGTGAACTGTTGCTCCAGGCTGTGCAAAAAGAACATTGCTATATGGAGCCGATAAGGTTAGCAGCCATCATCCGAGGGGAGCTATATGTTTTGCCGAACTTGATTGCATTCCTTGTTCCCCAGCATTGGAAGACAGCCCCACAGTATAAAACCGCCCAGCGGTCCTTGGCTGTAGCAGCACCCCCTAAAGCAATTTGTAGCTCGTCGAACGAGGAGAAACTGGGAGTGTTGAAGCCCCAGTTCGCCAGCCAGCCCAGGACCTCCTTAAGCCTCCGGCACCTCGTTGTAATGTGATCTCTATTCTCCTCCTGATTACACCCCAAAGGGCAGCTCGTGTCCGAAGAGAGGCCGCGGCGAGCCAGCCAAGCTCCAGTAGGGATCAAATCCTTATACACCCTCCACCAAAAAATCCTAACACGGGGTCTCAAACCAAGTTTCATAATGGGGCAGAAGAGATCGTCAACCTCCTGAAACGCATTGTTGTAGCAGATAGCCGAGATGGAAGAGCCAAGGGGGCATTTGATCAACTCGAGAGTATCCACCGCAAGCTCCGTCCAAATTTTTACATCACAGATCCTATCAGCCAAATCCTCGCCAAAGAACAGCAAAAGCTTTGGTTTGTTCCAGCTCCGTTCCCCCGTAATGAATTCATCAACAGTGCAATTCTGAGCCATGTTAACATTGCAAAAAGTGGGCCAACGAGATAAGGCTGTGTCCAAAATCCACACATGATTGAGCACATCTACATCCAAGCCTGTGCATATCTTCCACCTAACGCAGCCCGCCAGGCTCTCCGCCCCAGTACAGATCACCTTCCAACCAGCCGAGTGTCCCCTTCTGTGCTCCTGCGCCCAAGGCCATCCCCCGTATTTGTGAACCATTCATCTACTAAGAAGACTTTGCGGCTTATTTAAGAAATCCCAAGTGATTCTCGCCCTGAGCGGGCCAGTCCAGTGGCTGCTATCGTGAAAGCCCAATCCACCCACACGCCTGGGCCTAGCAAGACTCGTCCATGACGCATAGTGTCAGCTTTTATGCTCAGCGTCCTGGTCCCAAAGGAAACTACGATAGATCTTTTGAATTTCAGTCAACACCCCCCGCGACACCAGAGTATGAGACACAGCATAAACAGACAGGGGGAGTAGCACAGAATTGATCAGGGTGATCCTCCCGGCCAGTGAGAGATGCCGAATACCCCAAGAGAGGGTATGACTTCGGATCTTCTGCAGCAGCGGACCAAAGTCCACTTTCCTCAATCTTCTCAGTGCGAGCTTGATCCCAAGGTACTCCATTTCCTCCACCACCATATGGCAGCCCACCCTAGCTAGACGGGCCTTGGTAGAGGAAGCAGTGGTTCTTCCAAACAAAATAGCCGATTTGTTCTTGTTAATCATTTGTCCCGTCCAGGCACAGTAATCATCAAGGATCGACAAAACCTTCCGCACGTTAGGGATGGTGGCACATGCAAAACACAACACATCGTCAGCATAAAGAAGGTGGGAGACCATTGGTCCCCCCGTCCGAATTTGAACACCGAGCTCGGGAAAATTTTGATGGAAGTGCAACGATAGAAGTTCCGAGCAGATAATGAACAAGTACGGGGATAACGGGCACCCCTGCCGGAAGCCATAGTCGGCCACAATGCTCTCCGTCAGCTGGCCATTGACAAGAATAGAGAAGCGGGGAGCTTTAACACAACTCAACACCCAACCACAAAAACGTTGAGGGAATCCCATTTTTTCCAAGATAATTTCAAGCGTCCGCCAGCTCATTTTATCATAGGCCTGCTCCATGACGTCCTTAATAGCAAACCACCCCGTACTTGCTTTAGAGACTTTCAGCTTAATAATAATCTCCTGACTCAACAAGCAATGGTGCGAAATTGATCTAACAGGAACAAAAGCGGCTTGCTCTTCAGAAATGAGTCTAGGCAGAATACCCTTCATACAGTTAACCAGTACTTTAGCCACAATTTTGTAGATGGTTTGGCATAGGCTAATCGGTCTAAACATAGAAAGATGCTCCAGATTGGTAGTTTTAGGAATTAGGATGATAACCGTTTCCTTCCAGCTCGGATCCATAATTCCTGTCCGAAAAAATTCCAAACAAGCCAGAGAGACTTGCTCCCCCACGATGTCCCAGAAAAATTTAAAGAAAGAGGCCGTAATGCCGTCCCTACCAGGCGCCCGATTCTGCCCCAACGAGCCAACCGCCTGCCGAATCTCCTCCCCAGTTACCTCCCTGTCCAATTGTGCAGTAGTCTGAGCTAATATGGTGGCATGAGAGTCTAGGTTCGGCCACCCCAGCTCCTCAATGATATTCCCTTTCCATTTCTGTTCAAAGAATCCCTGTATCGTCTCCACGATTTGCTCATGCTCGGAGGTCAGTTGCCCATCCGGAAGCCTCATTTGAACAATGCGATTGGAACGCCTTCTCGCAGAGGCTATAGAATGAAAGAAACGGGAGTTCTCGTCCCCCTCCTCAATCCACCTAACCTTCGCACGTTGGCCCCACCAAGTCATAATGCGAGTAAG